GCTGATTCTCTGCACTCCTGGTGTCAGTGGCTAGGTCTCCATCCTATCTGGCAAGTTGGGATGGTTGTCCTCCCTTTCTATGTGCAGTTTTTTATTGAAAAGATTCTTATTTAACCAAGCCACGGGTTTTTTTTACTTCTTTTTAGTCTGACTGCTTTCTCTATAGCCACATTTGGATCCAGATTAAGGTCACTTATCATCAGATTGTTCTCCTTGAACCTTATCAGACCCTATCACCAGTATCTAGTAGCAGGAGATAACTGTTGAAAGACCAGATGGAAATTTAGCAGTTTATAGTGTGTTACCTCTTCCTTTTTCTTTTGGGACACAGGGAATGTGCCTGCTTTGACCCAGCCACCTCATTCCATTTCTTCCTTGATTCCTGGAAGGAGTCCATAATTATTATTACTACTTTTTTAACTGTTGGGTGGAGTATGGAACACAATTTGTTCCTGAATCTGCAAGAAACCAGCCACTTAGATAATAATAGTTGCTCTTCCTTCACAGGTCCTGCTGCAGTACTTGCTAGCCAGGCAAGTGTCTCATGGTGCAGAGAGGAGTTAAAATTCAGGGAGGAAAAGGAAGAGTCAGGACTGGAAGCAGTAAAATTGCTTAACTTAGTGTGCAGTCATATGGAAGAAGCACATTTATTTTTACTTAAATAGATACAACTGAGAAACCCAGGATAACTTTCTAATACATAAATTTTATCTTTTTTTTATTTGTAAGGATTTCTGGGGTAAAATAAGGTTTGAAGGAAAAGCTTCTTGCCATTTTTGTGACAGTTTACCAAAAGTGAATTTTTATATGCTTGAGGCTGTTTAAACAAGGGCACCACATATGCTCTTAGGCTGGCAGCAGAGGAATGGGCTTTTGTTGGATATATCAAACTACTGGCCAACAGGATCTTGCATCTGGGAGGATTTGTCTTTGCCAGATGAAATTCCACATTTCTGAAAGCATGAAGTGCAGCACTCTCTTACCATTAAAATTGTGTTTATATACGTACATGAAAAAAAATTTTAGATGAATTCGCTGGAGTTTCTGATACTATTGAACATTTATACCTAATTATGTTTAAATGTAATTGTTCTCCTTAATTTCCTTGTCATGTAAATTAATGTAAAATTGTAAAATAAAGTATGAATCAGAGACAAAAATTCGATTCATACTTTATTTCCAGTAGATAACACAGAAAATAGAAGCACCATCAGATTACGTACATTGACAACATTTAGACATGCCTGACGTGATCTTAACAGTTTGTAAAACTTAAGTTCTGGTTTTCCCCTCAAGTTTGCTCTGTCGTTGTGGATCGATATGCTCATTAAAACAGTAACGCATTCTCTCCGCTCTTACTCCCCCAGATGGGTTTGAAATGGTAGATTCCTTTCTGACTTTTTCTCCCCCTCCCAATCTGTCACTGTGGGAAATGGATTGGCCCTGCTAATTACAGTAGGTGCCCTGTTAGGATGAAATTCCCAGTGTATGTGACCGTGAAGAATGTACAGCATTCAGCGATTCCAACCTCTGTTTTACAGGCTGGCCAACAATGAGAAGCAAGGAGTAAGGTCACACACAGTCTCTGTGTCAGGTAAGGCTCATTTAAAAAAAAATAAATAATTTTTTTTTAAAAATCAAATTTAATTATAAAGCTAGTGGATGCTCAGGCAGATTTTTCACTCGCAGTTAGCTCACTTCTTGCTACTTTTTATTGACTTTCCCCAAACTGTAGCTGTGCTGCCTTTGGAGTGCATGTAGTGTAGTTTCTACAGAGAAACTTTTTGCAGCGATCTTACGTAGCGTTGCTGGTGAGAACAGCCGTGTCCGTGTAGTAACACAGGGCCAAAATACTTCAAAGCAAGGCTGCTTGTTGATATTTTCACTTAGCTTGATAATGAACTAGAACATTGTGGGCTAAAACTTAAATTACCTGAGTATGTGTTAATTATGAAGGAGCAGCTTTGAAAAGTGAAAATAGGCAATTAAATATTAATCATCACTTTTCAGAAAGAAGAAACTTAATAGCTCTTTTTTTTTTTTGTAGCTGCTGTTTAGATCAAAGTACTTAATTTTTGCTATTGAAAATCACAAGTTAATTGAAGGATGAGCGTGTGAGATAATATATGTTTCTATAGTTTATAGGCTTCTGAGATTTCTGTTAGTTCCTCTGGGGTTTTTTAAGTTTTCATACTTGAGAGAGAACATTTTTCTTTTACAGAATCTTAAATCCTTTTGAGGGATTGATTCAGTGTCTTAGCAGAAAATGCATTTCTAAATCCTTATACATAAGGATTTAGAATAAATAAGAGATTTTTTTTCAGTGCAGAAGTGTGTTAATACTGTGATATATTCCTATTGATTTCTAGTATGTGACCATAAACTTCAGGAACCAATATTGTGACCCACTGGAGTGTCCAGCCCTGACTTACAGGGAGGCTGCAGCCCCACTTTAACATTTATGTGAGCGTTTAGTGGCACATACTCAAAAACCCAACTTATTTCATACAAGAAGCTGGAAAGATACAGAGATGTTTGATTAATTTCATACTTTTCAGATTCCTTTCCCCACCCTTAAGCATTTTTTAAAGATGTTTGAGATTCACCCTTTGGCATAGGAAGCCCAGGTAAAGAGACCTTGAGCAAGAAAATAGGTGAGAGGATCTGGAATTAAAGTGTGTATCAAGCTGCAGAGCTTCCTCAGTTACTGTTACCTCTCAAATAGCTCTTCTTCCTTCAGTACCTATCAAGCAAGCATGGTAGATAAGGTAGATAAGCACAAAGCACGATCAGCATGTTCTCTCTTGATTCTTACCCGTGTGACTCATTTTAGCTGTTAGAAAAAGTTGACATTTCTTAAGTGATTAGCACTGTGCTTTTTCATTGCTTCACTCACAGACAGAAAAGCTCATCTTCAGGACAAAATACTCATACTCCCCTGACACCTCAAATTTTCACCCTTTCCGTTTTTGTAAGAGTGCCGATATAGTTTTACTATTAAAAGCAATAATAAATGCTTATCATGATCCTTCATTGCTGTCATTTTGACTTTGCAAATTTAAGTATCCTTTGCTTGGTGAATTTTATCTGAAGTACTGTTGTGTCTTAGAGCTCAAACTCACTTCTTCTCTACTCTTTCCAAGTAGTGTTTTTGGCATTAATGTAGTGAAGTTGTAATACCCCATGACTCTGGCGTTTAGGGTGTCACATAAATGTCAAAGATGGGCAAATGAGAGCTTTGCTGTAGAACCACAGAAGAAACAGAAATAGCAGCGCTGGAGATGAGCTGGTTGTTCCAAGTGAACGTCAAGGAAAGCTGTAAGGCACAAAGCTGGCTCCTGGTGCCATAAGCAAAACAATTGAATTAGACCAGCAAATGTCCCTCCCTTTCTTTCCAATACCAAAATCAAAACCAATTAGGTATTTTTCTGGTATTGTAGTAAGGTTTTTTGTCTTTCCTCAATGAAATCATTGTGCTTGATTCTTGTTTTTTATACCAAGTTACAAACCACTGGAAACACTGACATAATACTGGAATGATTGAAGCCATTGCATTTATTATTAATTCTCAAGGGTTCTTCTTTTTTAGGAAGGGTACATAGAACACTGACATACTTTTTTTGTTGGTGGTTTTGGGTTTTTGCCCCAAAATTATGTGAAATGCATCGAGTGTGGCATGGATGTCAGTATATTAAATTTAAACCACAGACAGATTGTTGAGATGAATTTATGTGATAAGGATTTTTCCTCAGGAGGTGCTTTCTGTAAGAATCTGTGAGTCCCCAAAGGAATCAACTCGTTACAAATGAAGTAATACTTCATGTAGATCTGAAGAAGTGTCACTCCTGTTGTCACATGTAACTGATCCATCAGTACGGAACAACGGAGGCAACAGATGTACATAATGTTCAGTTAACCCCAGAGTTACAGGTCAGCAGAGTCTGACAGCTGACAGCATCCAGTGCAAAGCCAGCTGTGGGTGATGCTATCTTGGTTTGCAGAATGAGAGCTTTTCTCTGGTGACATTTAAATGACTTTAGAGCTAAAGGCTTCAAATAAGACGAGCTTTTATAACTTCCTGACAGCTGTAACGTCCTTCGTGCCTTTGATGATTTAAAACATAAATTAACTCTGCTGTTTGCTTTCTGTGAGATTGCTACCCCTTGTTTAAACCTCTTCCAGTGCTGAAGCTAAATAGCAAAAATCCGAGACACATACTCGGCAGAAAAATTAAGCAGGCAGACATATTTATATTATTAATACCCTTAGTTCTAAAGAAAAGTTTCACAGTGAGTTCCCCACCATACTTTGGGGAAACCAGCAATAGCCAAAAACCAGAGTGGAACCTGATTTGGGTGTCTAAAATGTCAGGTATTTGTCTGAAGTTTTGTAGGTTTAAAAATGAGCCTGTTAATGAAAGACACTTTGTCTTTCTTGTTGAAATATTTATTAACGTACCTTGAAATATTTCTGGTTTAGTGAAATGAAAACTTGTCCTTTCCAAGTGTTTCAATATTCCAAAGAATATTGAAAGAAACACTCTCTACAGAGATAGAAGGTTGGTTTTAAATACTTTTTTTTTCTATAAATAAAGGCTTTTTCAAACTAGTGAAAGGTGAAGTTGGTTTCAGGAATCCAGAGCAGCAGATTGCTGGACCTGGGAGCAGAGCAGTGTTCTCTTACAGCTGTGTGTCACTGATCCAGGTCTCTGCACACACCTCTTCCTGCAGGCTTCTGTTTCTGCTTCTCCTGGTATTGTTTGTCTGCCTTGCTTCTTCAAATTATATGCTCCTTGCAGTGGGCACTGTCTTTTCACTGTGTGCAAGTAAGATGCCTGCCAGGTTTCCCTCCTTTTTTGAAGCACAGTAATAATTTTTTCCCTCAAATTTTACATTTGTGTGTGTAGGATTATAAATAAATATAAATAACATGCCCAATTAAATGAGCTGGATTTTAGATTTCTTTGGTAAATATCTGATGTTTTGGTTTAAGTTACTCTGGTTCACCAGAAGCAGTGAGTGTTTTAATTAATAGAAACATAGTTCCAACTTTTCTCTCCTTCTCCTTCTACCTCTGTCTTTACATTAAAAACGAATTCTTTGTATTTAGCCAAGAGTGTACGCTCAGGAAACAGGAAGGCTAAACTATTTGCTCTGCTCAAATAGTGTATGGAATTTGTAAGAAGCAGCATACCAGTTTACTGTAATTTTATTGACTAGATTTTCTGCCCTTTTGCTTAGAGTCACCTTATTAAAATGCTCCACTCTAGTCTACAGGAACTTATTTTGGCCAGCAGTTTGTTTTGAAATAGCAAACATTAGCCTTAGTAAGGTGATGCATGTATTTCCTGATACATATATTGCCAAAAATAACAATTTACCTAGTCAGTGATAAAATGAAATCAATAAAGCTGTAGTTTGCTTGCTCCCTTTTAACATAATTTCTTTCTTACACAGAGTTCTTTGGTTTCTTCTGCCCCATCCTCGTTTATATAAATAGGACTAGGAAGAATAAATATGATTTTGCCTCCCTTGGCTAATCACTTTGCCTCCTTTGCAGTGAAGAATTCTGTGGATGTAAATTTTTTTAATTGTAGCTCAAACGTTACTTTACATGCAGTGCTACAGAATGTGACATTTCAGGTCCACTTGTTTCAGGGAGTATTTTGAACAAGTCTTGGTGGTGTTGGGTTCTTGGCAGTGTTAGGTTCACGGTTGGACTCCAGGATTTTCAAGGGACTTTTCCAACCTTAAATGATTCTGTGATTCTAAGCAGTCACTCTTGGCATTTGGATATTCAGGTACTGATGAATAAAATCACATGTTTGTGGGGAGGGAGCTGTAACTGGAAGGTGACAGTAAGGAAGAAGATGAGCTGTTTTGCAGGAGCCAGCACAAGACATGTACTTGAAGTGGGTTTTTAGGGCCTGACACAGGGTTGGTCTTGGTTCAAAGTGGGTTCTGGTTTTTCAGCTTTAGTATGTGCTGATTTGGTGAAGGAAATTGAAAGGTGTTTAAAATATGGTCACTGTTTCAGATGTTAAGGCAGACTGTTCAAGTCATCTCAGTAACAGACCCCAGGACACACGTCTTCAATAGGCAAATAGGTATCTTAAAGAGAAATTCGCTTTTCATCTTGTTCCCTAGCCGGTGTGGCTGTTGTTACTGACACAAATAGCATTTTAAAGTCAAAAGGGTGTAGCTGTAACAGTATTATAATTCAATGGCATACATTTCTGATAACGCTGGTGTGCCATTGCCTCTCTGTAGAGGGAAAAACATTTGTTTGCTTACAATGACTCTGTAAGAAATGTGTAACTGCACCCCGTGGTTTAGACATATCTAGTAACATGCCCTGCAAAGGAGAAACTGTGTCGTTTGGAGAGAGCTTCCTTACAGGATCTGAAGGATTTTAGCATCCTGAAAGAGAAGGTTCTTAGCAAGCTTCCAGATCCTGCCTTAGAATCACAGATTTATAGTATAACGTAATTATACTTAAATCCCGTACTGTGGTTCACTCCTGATCGTGGCAGTGAAGGGCCATGAGAGTTCTTCTCTAAGGTGCTACTTATGAGCAGATCCTGTTTGAAGTAGTTGCCAATTCAGTCACAATTTAGCTGAAATCTCAATTTGAATGAAAATAAATTATCTTTTGAAGGAGATAAGCATGATTTAAGTGAGATTTTGGCATACAGAAAATAAATTATGTGGTACAATTAATCTGTGAGGGAGACTTCCAGTGGGTTACCGAGATCAAACTGTGATATAGTAGGAGCCAAATGTCAAAATGCAACAAACAGGAGAGAAAAAAAAACACTAAGTGTATTCAGCTGATATCAGTATTACAGTAATTAAAATGTTCTTAATGAAATACATGTGAGCACACAGAAGAACCTAAATATATGTGTGAATGATGAGGGCTAATCACAAGCAAAGCTGTGAGTGAGATGGAAAGACAAATAGGATTTTATTGAATCACTTCTGCTTGCAAAGCACAGTGTGTGCTCTGTTTCGTGATTCCTGTGCTCAAAATGAAGGTCTGTCCTGTGCTCAACTCTGAAAGGGTTTCTTGTGTTGGACTCGTATTTCCTAGTTCCATTTGAATTCGTTAGTAGGGGGAAAAGGTGTTCTTTACTTGAGGTTGTGAAGTTGGGAGTTTTTTCATGTTCGTTTTATCAAAGTCACTCCAAAAAGACAATGCTGAAAAGTGTAAGTAATTTTTTAAGATTAAAAATGGTATCTTGTGTGCTTATGACTGTGTCTGCTAGCTCAATTATGTTGTACTCTACAGCTCACTTCTTCTGAATAGAAAGACTAGCAGTCTTAGCATCAATTACATAGTTACTCATTTGAATTTTTAAGTAATTAGAGGAATATAAAGGCTCTATAAAACTGTAGCTCTGCTGTATGGTCACAGGACTGGGAGACATTCAAGCCTAAGATTTATTGCAGATTAACTTTGCAAACCTTGAGCAAGTCATTAGTCTCCAGGTTCACAAGGGGAGTTACTTGCTTCTTAACTCACCCAGCTATTCTACTGATTAAAGTATAATTAAAAATACCCTTAGTGTTAATAAATTATAATATGTAAGATTCCCATCACAGTTGAGTAGACCAATGTTATTATCTTTTTTTGTATTTTAGACTAAAATGCTTCTTTTTGTGCACCAGAAGAAGAGCAGAATGAGCTGTGTTGGTCTAAACTGGGTGCATTGATTTCATCGGTCATTGGTTAGAGTTCTTCCCCTCCTACACTCCTCCTTTGTGATCCACTCAGTGATTTGAGCAGACACTTTTTGCTTTGCTAGCAATGACACTGTAGCATGACTAAAGAAATGTTCCGTGCAGTATTAGGTTTGGGGTTTTGTTGTTTATGTATAAACATAGTTGATGTGACAACTGTGTAGTACTCATTTTATTTCAAAAGCTTGAGTACAAATAGATTTATTCCTTCTACAGATTTTTTCCAGGGTTTTTCCTCAAACTGGTTGAGGAGTATATGACTAAAATAGAATAGGACATTATCAGCTTTAGCCTTCCAGTGTTGGTTATCTACTCATACAATCCTAACGAGGAGCTCCAGTAGTAACTGCCCTCTAACCTGATCACTTCCTTTCTAACATAGTCTGTTGCATAGCAAGTGATTGGCTCTTTTTTATATACAATAATTGTAGTGAATAATTAATATTGAGAAAAGGATCTAAATAAGAAAAAAAAAGTCCAGTGAAGTCTTCAGCAGCATTTCTGAGCTTTATGAGCATTTAGATAGATGCCAGTGATATCCTGGCTGGAAGGTGGTGTGGAATGGTAGAAATCCTTCTTAGTAGTATTCACGTCAAGCAGGTACTCTCTAAGCTCCTGAAAAAGTGTCGGAACTTCTTTATTTTTACAAGTCTTTTCCTAAATAATATTTCTTTGTAGCTGGACTTGAAGATGTGGTAAGTTTAAGACAAAACAGTCCTCCATTTAGTCTGGCAGAATAGTTGAACAAACTTGAGGCAAGAAATCATAAAGGCAAAGTTTGAAATGCAGAAGACGAAGTTGGACTGTGTATCACAGGGCATCAGGACGTGGACGTGGTGAATTAGAAACACCTTTGTCATTTCGATGTGCCCTTTGTAAGACAGAGGTTAGTCAGGTGTCAGTCAGCGTCCGTTTCCCATGTGTCACTGTAAGAGTGAACAGCATTTCAGGCTTAAATTAGCTTTGTAGCCTGAGCAGCCAGGTCAAGAGTTGAAACATCTCTTCCCTTTTAGATGGGTTGTGTTGCTTCCAGTGACTCTATGCATGTTCTTCTGTTTCAGAACAGAGTATCAGATTCCTTTATTCTCATTTCAATACCTTTTCAGTAGTTTCTTAAAATAGCTGTGGCATTTTTTTCTTTTCTTTCATGCTATGCCTAAAGCTTTGTTACCTCAGGTTTGTGTTTGATAGCACTGAAAATTGTGCTGTGTGGTTTTAGGAAGTTAATCCCCTAGGAGTTATCTAACTTAGTCAATAATTTTGCCATCTCCTGGCACCTCTTTCAGTTTTTAGCGTTGAGTGTGATTAATGTTCTGCCATTTTCAATGACGTGTACGTTTTCACAATTGATGAGTGATTTCTGTTTGTTTAATCACCCCAGCAGTTTTTATAATGGTACTTTTTTGTCATTTAGGATAAAATAATAAATCTCACCCGCTTGTTTTAACTTTGCATTAAAATAGCCATGTTAGCAAATAATGTGTTGTACATAGTAGTCTGTTACCCATTACATCTGCATGTGTGAAATTCAACATGCAGCCTCCAGACTGGACAGTGATTGAACACACTTAATCCACCTTTAAAAAAATTCTGCACGTTATCCCTTAAATTCTGGCCACTAAAAACTGCGCAACTGTGTATAAGATGGTGCCTTTGTGTAAGTATAGATGCTTTGATGGTTCTTGGGTTTCCAGAAGCTATGAAAAATGGGAGATTATTTTTATTAAAAGATAATTCTCCTTTTCCACCCTTCCTGCACTCCTTCCACCACTGACTAGTATGCTGTACCAGTATGCTGCTTCTGTGGTACTGGGCTTCTCTTTTAACACCTGTACCTCCAGCTTGTATAACTCAGGCTGGCTGGACCTGACTCTTACTGCCAGCAACAAGACGAAGGTTTTTAACTGATGGGCTTTTTAAACCATCTCTCAACATTTCCTGAGATAGAGGAAAGAGGGAAGAGAGGAAAGCAGAGAGGAGCAAACAGATAACAAGAGAAATAAAAGGAGCAGCTGTCCTCAGGTTCATAGTGTTGTCTCATGTCCTTCTTTCTCACCTTGTGAAATCAGTTGTGGCTTCTTTGTATTTTCTCCTACTCAAAAATTTCTCTCCCTGATGAGTGCTTTGCTAATTAAATGCAGTGCAGTGACTAGGAAAAGGGACAGTGAGGACAGTACCATGGGACATTCGCCCAGAGATCCTTGGGAAACTGGAATATCAATTGCAAGACAGGTCTGCACTGGGGATAAAATTCCAGCAGCACATTTCAGATCATAATATATGTCAGCGTTGTATTTCAGTGGGACAGAGAAACTGTTTTTTTCCTTGTTGTGTGTAACCCTGCTATGTGAACTACTTATTTTGTGTTAAGTTCTTTTAAGGGTCCAGAAAGTCAGTATGTCCATGTGAAAGTCTGGTGACTGCCACTTAAATCAGGATTTAGCTATAGCACAGTCCAGTAGAGCTTAGATGGGGAGCTTGTAAAAGCAGGATGCACTTCTGGGATAGGCAGTATGCTTTGCATTGTCAGTGGATGGTATGGCAAAAATGGATAGTTGGTAAAAGCTGAGTTTTTAATAGATTCTAGTCTCACTTTTAAAAGTTGTAATAACTTTGCTGTAGCAAGGAATTTGAAGGAAGATACCAAATATGCTTTAGAGTTTCAGCAACGTTCGTATATCCATTTGCGTATGCAGAACTGTAAGGTAAACATTTACTTTTATGTTCATTCATTGTAGATGTTCTCTCCGGTCTCTTTTCTTTTATTTCCAAATAATTTGTTTCTGTTTTCTCTTTCCTTTTCTTGCCTCTTTGTAAAGGAGTCAATCACTGTCAGCATAAAGTAAAGAAAGCTAGACGCTTTCTCCCTTTCGTCTTCTGTTCCCATGAGCCGCCGCCTAAGGGTACTGCACTGCTCTTTGTATAGGCTGCCTTCTTAACCCAAAAGCTGAATATACTAATGCAGTTACTGGGGTTTTTTTTTTCACTATTTTAGCCTCAGGTAAACAGAGTTCCAAGAATAATTTCATTAAATTTCTGCTACCCCTTTTCCTCCTATTGAATTGGATTTTCATGCAGTGTCACAAACTTGCTGGTCTCCTTTTTTTATGGGGGACTTTGTTTTAAGCATCATATTCGACAATGATAAACTTAATAATTTCATTTGTTTAGCTGTGCAGCCCCTGTATACCCATGGGGGTTTTGGTTAATATATTTTTACTTCATTCTTGGACCCCTGATACAGCATGCTTCTGAATGGAATAGAATAGCAACAATAAGCATCAGCTAAGATCCCTTTGAATTAAATATTGAATACAGTGATGCTTTTGGCTGCATACTGGTTCAGCATTTGGTCTGGACCAGTTTGGCTTTGTTAGGGGGTAAGAAGAATTGGAGTAGCAGGTGCATTACTTTTACAACATGAATGCTCATGTTCCTTTTATTTATAAATAATGTCTAAAGTGCATCAGCTTGTGCTGTGGATATTGGTGTGGAACAGGGCCACCATCATAAATGTGGAATATGGTGCTCATTTGAACAGCTTCCCAGTAGAGTTGCTCTGTTTGTCACTCATTTAAATTTTAGCCTTATATAACCGCAACATGCTCTGTATAATTAATACTTAGATAGTTCCATTTCTTGCTCATGTCTTCGCGATAGCACAGGAGTGCATTTCCTTTGAAAGGGTGAACACCAACTCTAGTTATCCAGAGTCATAAGTGTGTGTGAAAAGTCAAATGGAACTGACTCATCTGGCTGTAGGAGATCTGTTTCGTAGCAAAGTATTGACTTAAACCAGAAATTGGCATTTCTTAACAATGCATTAAAATAGTTCCACTCCCAAATTGATTTTTTTGTGTAAATTCATGTTTGAAATTCAAGTCACTAACTCTGTTGCATCATACATGCTTCGCAGAACATATCTTTGTCCCTTGGGTTTTAGGTGAGAAGTCTTAAATTCTGATAGTTTTCTGGTTTCTCGTGAGTCAGGTTTATAATATAACTGCAGTCTGAAAACTTTTGGATTACTCATGAATTTAATAGTATATTTTCCCCTCCCCCTTCTCTGTCCCTTTTCTCTCCCCCTCTGTTTTTCTCTTTCCTTGCATGCCACCTGGATCTGCAGATGAAATTAGTGGGGACGGTAATATGTTTTCTAGTCTGTGTGTTACTAACGTGCGATATGCAACTCTGATATCCATATATCACTTAATGCACATTTCAGTAATAAATTTTACACAGATTTTAGAAATGAAAAGGAGTCTGCTTTGGACATTAGCCAATAAATATTGTACTTTACAGGCTGTGCAACTAACACTTTCTGCTAAACTGGAATTGAAAAAGGAAAAGCTATTTCAAACACACAGGGATGTGCTACTACATGCGCTTGCAATGAGAGTTCTGGCATGATGCAAAGAAGGTTTATAGGTTTGCAAGAGTGTCCATTCAATTTGACTGAAATTGTTATATCACAGAATTTTTTTGGTCAGTGAATGAGATCAATGGATGTAACATGTTGAGAAATGAATCTATGAAGTGATTTAAAGGCATGGTAGCATCAAAGTGCTGTGTAGTCCACTACTGCTCCTTGCATAAAAAGAAGCTGTACAAGACAGATCAATGTAGAGTGAATACATGAAATACTCATCAGGTTTCAGCTACTCAAACAGCTAATTTTAAAGAGAGATTTTAATGTTTTTCTTTAAAACTTTGAAACCTATTCCAAAATATTTAACTACTCCAGACTTTATAAGTCCTTTTTTCTAGAAAGTATTGATTTGTTATCCTCTGAAAACAAGTTCAGTTTTGGTTTTGTTTCTTTTAAAAAAGGTTTTGAGCTGTTTTTTAAAGGATTCCACCTGATGTTTGAAAAAATATCAAACTGCTACTACTGATAATATATGCATTCAAATTTAGTAAGGCTCAGACTGGCTCATTCACTTGTACCACCAACCCTGTACCTTGGCCCAAAAGCAACCTATATGTTTTTCCATTCTAGAGGAATCCAACATGTGGAAAAGGTTCAGTGCTGGGTTTAACACGTTTGAGAGAGCAGCAGTAATGAGCCCTATTTTTAAATCCTAGTTCTTCTAGACTTAAAGGCCTTGAAGATAGAACTTCTCCTGGAATTGCTGTGGTTTTGTCAGTGTTTAACTCTTGAGACTGCTTTAACACGTTCTTCTCTGTAAAGCAGGCTGGAGAGCCTTGCCTGAGTTTTGCTTTAAACTCCACGTAGGTTCTGCAGTATCTTTTAACAGACATAGTGATAGTCTTAGCAGACGTGGTCATAGTCTCACATTCTATGACTCTAATTGTTGGGTGAAGGCTCCACGTGAGGGAGGTCAGTTATCTCTTGTTGCAGAACACTTTGAGCACATCAGTGTTAATGCCTTGACTGAATTTTCCTTTAATTCCCAGAAACAATGCCAGGCATGTATAGGAATGATTTTCTGAATTCTTATTATATGTTCGTCTCCAGAGTGTTAAATGTGTAACAAGAAATACTTGTTTAGTTAATTGCATACATTTAATTTATTTAGATTGGCTACTGAAGACCCTTTTAGTTTCAGAACAGTTTTGGGCAGCATATCAAAACCATGTAAAGTGCTCTGTAGTGTTCTGATAATGCTTTTATTATGAATTAACTTCATTAATTTAAAACAGAGAGATGAACGTGCCAAACCATTTATCACATTTTGTGAGCAGTGTTCCATAATCTAGTGGGACAAATGTTTGGGTTTTTTTTAAGGACCACTGTGGCTCTAGTTTCCTAATTTTTAAAATTCTTCTAATTATGTTTATAATATTTTTCATTAAGTCAATTTTTTTTACATTGATTAAGAACATTCTGGTGTCCTCAATTACTAGCTTGTAACAATAGTTGATAGATACCACACTTGACAAAAGTTAAAAACATCTTACCACAATATTAGGAGGAAGCAGAGTGATTTATTCCTGTCACATTGGTGCCACACTAGTGATTTATTTCATACAGATGCTTATTTTTTAGATCAAACTGGAGTTTATATGGTTTTCTACAAAAACATTAGTTTATAATGTAGGGAGGAAAAAAAAAAACATACCAAGAAAGAGATGAGTGCCTCTAGAGTATCCTGCCTGTTTAGAATTGTGCACTGTCTTTATAATTAATTGAATTTTCATTAGGTGGCTCTGTCTGTGTCTTAAATAGAAATTGCCTATCAAAAATTTAAATGGCATAGAATTTCTTGTTTCTGTTTTACAAGACACAGTATATTCCTACAAGAGTTCAAAAGAAAAATAGCTTTAATTTTATTTAAGTAGTACAAAGTTAGGATCATCAGACTACACTTGTGCACTGAAGTGTGTTGAACTTCAAGGGTTATGCACAACCTGTAGTTTCCTAATTGTTAAATATTCAGTTTGTCTGAAAATTAAGCCTCCTGTTTGTGTATGTATATAATATTTATGAGCCTTGCTCTGGTTTCAGAGTCGGCTTAAGTTGGTTGAACTGAAGGCTGCTGCCAAAAGAGATCATCCCATCCTTCTTTCTACTCTCACTGTGACTTTGTCCCATTCACTGTTCAGAAACCATTCCTCTAGAAATGATGCCAGGGAGCTGGAGGGATATAGATATGCTCCAGGGCAGATGGGGAAAAAGGGGGAGTCAATCATGCCTTTCAGAGGTGGTCCAATATATGATCACCTGAAACCAACCATGAAAACTGCATCCTGGATTTGAAATTAGTCCGTTTTGACAACCTCTCTATGTATTTAAAGTTGATGACTAGAATTTAATGGCCTTGAAGTGAAAAATTATCTCACTGTTGTGCACTGGTTTTGTAACTCCCAGAGGAATTCATCTGACCATTAGGAAGCAACCTACACACATTGAAAGTTCTTTAGAGCAGGAGAAAGACCTTCTGATATGACTTGCCACCATGTAAACCATTTTGAGAACAGATGATATAAAAGTTGAAAGTTTTAAACAGAGGAAGAAACACACTGTCATTTTTCTAAAAATTTTGAGAACTGGTTGTTTTGAAACCCTGTCTGCGAGATGTTGATTCTTGACAGAAAAACTGGTGGTGAATTTCCACTAAACAAGGAAAATTGAGACTTAATGCAAGAAAAAATGGATGGAAGGCAAGAGTGTGACTTAAAAGTTCTTTATGCTTCAGAAAACCCTATGGAAATTAACTCACCTTGCCACACTGACAGTAGGTAGATGCTGCCCTGGAACATCTTTACTGTCTGTTCTGCCTGTTTGACATTAAAAAACTAGCAAACTATTATTCACACTTTATTGAAGGTAAAGCATGTAATCTGTTAATAATGTTTTCTCCTTACTGCAGTGGAATTTGCTGTTAAGATTTTCTTTTAAAGTCAACAGTTTAGATGGGTTTCAATTACAGAGGTTGAACTTTTTTTAATACAAGTGAATCTTCCTTTTATTCCTTATTGAATGCACCTGTGTGTCGTAGTTTAATTGGCGCTGGGGTCATTATCATACCATAAATTATGCATGAGCAAGTTTTATTCATGCTATTGTAAATTCATCCCAGCAATGTTGAAGTTGGGAGTTGTGAGATACCAGCCTTGATAAATTGGTGATATTGTTCTGGAGAATTGTTTCATCTGCTTTTCCCGAAACTCTTCAATTCCTCCCTTTACAGAGACAGATGACTATGCAGAGATTATAGATGAAGAAGATACTTATACAATGCCATCAAGTAAGTATGGTAGTTAACTTGGGTACTTTTCTATCTGAAAGCTTCTTTGGTTTAGCAGGGACTGCATCTTATATTTCAGCTTCAATGATATGTGTGCAAAGAAAACATGATGTTTCAAAAACTTAACAGATTCAGTGTTTTGAAGTTCGAGTTGTGAGGCAAATAAAATCAAGTTCTGTTTTGCTGCTGTCAGTGACTTCACAGTGAAATTCCTTTTATATCTTAAAATGTAGATTTTTTTGATTGTGATGCTGAACACAACACTTAAAGAGAGTGGATAAGATTTCTGTGACAAGAGCAAACAATTTGGAAATCTTCTGTGTGTTGCTGTCTGACTGTATCTCACCTTTGCTCTATGACAGACGCTGCTCTCAAATTCCTTGGTAGAGGAAAGTCATCTGTACCACATGCAATTTTGTTAAAGATGAAAGACTTCAGGAACAAACAAACAAACAAAAAGAAAAAGCAAAGTTCTTCTGAGTCTTCATCTTTGAAATTGAGAAAATGATGCATTAGCTACCAAAAGGATTTTGTCTCATGGCATATTATGATATAATCTTAAAGTGTCAAGGCTAACTAATTTAACATGAAAGCCTAGTGTTCTGATTTTAGGAGTTGTGTCTGCAAAATTGCAGTTGTGTTTTGGCAACCAAGGATTTCTCTAGAAGTAGACAATCACTTCATACACAGACCTGTAAAAATGACGGGTTTGGTTAGTGTAAGAGGGGAGGATGGTCCTGAACTGGTACCATGTTCTGCTGAAGAACCATGAGTGTACGTAAGGATTTCTAGAGTTTACCATGTGGCAGGAATGTTTCATGATCACTTCAGTGTTGACAACATAGTTTCCACTACTGTGGAAAAATACTTGAAAAGCAAGAATATATGTTTTGAAAAACATATATATATTTGAACATAAATATTTGAAAAGCAAGAATATATGTTTTCCAGAAATAAACAATGTGTTTTGAATGTCTTGCAGTAAGTCACCAAATGATTCTCCTGAAATAATTGCAGGATCAAAAAGTACTATGAAAAATTACATCCTTTCTTTTGGTAATATATTGTCTGATTTTTTTTTTTTCCCCCCTAATCTTTTAATTTAAATTCTCATGGAAGTAATTTCTTGTGGGCCCAGCCCTGGATGATGCTGAACTCTTAAGTATGCCTTCAATTCAAAGCCCATGAGATGGGCTGTTGAAGTGAAATTCATTAAGTGCTTTGCTGGATTGAAGTGAACTCAAGTGTTCAGCTCTCAAAGGACTGAGTCAGTAAAGATCACAAGAACAGACCTGTGACTTCTGCTAATGTAAACTTAAAATTACATCAGTATATTTCTTTATTTAAAAAAAAAAATGTTAAAAATGTTTGTCCTTGTCTTGATTTTAAGAAACTAATATCTAAGTAAGCATTTGATTTTTCTCTTAATTGCACTGCAGAAAGCTATGGAATAGATGAAGGTAACAGGAGACCCTTTACCCATCCTTGTATGCTTGCAATTTGGAATGATGTGGAATTTTTAAGTTTACTATTCACTTTCATTTAATAAACATTTATTTTTTTTATAGTGAAACCAGTTAGCTTTGGGATTTTAAAGAGGAAAATGCAGTAGTTAAAAAAATAAATGAAAAAGTCATTTATCACTTTGTCATCCAGCTCTAGATGACATTATTTCTGTAGTGTTAATGAAGTCAAAATAATCAGTCATGAAGTCCTAAGCTGGTTGATTTTTTTTTTTCTCTGGATAATACAAGTAAAAGTGAAAACATATACTATACATGCTTTTCTGCTATTCCTGAAATATTTTTCCATGTCTGCTAGAAAATTAATTGCAAATGAAGTAATTCAATTGCAATTGATGAAGTGTTTTGCTGAATTATTGAACCATTTTATCAGCAATGTTCTCAGTCTCTTAAACCATGAAGTTAACAAAATTGCATAAGTCCACAAAACATACCAATTTTACTTCAATTCCACACTTACAGAGGTGTAGTGCATTCAAAATTTTGCTCTTTCATTTTATCTTTATTTGCCATGCTCTTGTTTTTATATTTTTTCTTGCAGTTACCTCTTTAAAAATTCTCTGGGCTCTTTTGATGGTTCCAAGATCTAAAATACCACATAGTGGAGTTCTCTTAAACACCTAAAGGGCTGTGTGTTAAGGCTGTATTTAATATCATCAATATTGCCCTAGGCTGTTGTGTTCTTTGTCTTTTACTAGCTATAATTAAGAAGGATTCAATTATGTCTCTTGCATTGAAATAAATAATGCAATAAAGTAGTTAATTTAGCAAATTAGATTTCACAATTCTTTTTTCATTGCTTTGGTTCAAACATTTGTTTAAGAGGTTTCCACTGTGTGTAACAGCATTTTTATAGGTTGGTGTGCAGCAAATGTTAATCTTAGTTATTCATATGTGAGACATTTGAGTGACTTTGAGTTTTGTATCTTATGGATTATTTCTTTGCCCTTCATCAGAAATTTAATATTTTAAGTGCATTATATTCTTATAGCCAGAGATTATGAAATTCAAAGGGAGAGAATTGAACTGGGGCGCTGCATTGGTGAAGGACAGTTTGGAGACGTACACCAAGGAGTTTACATGAGTCCGGTAAGCCTCACTTCTGAAATAAAAATAAACAAATAATAAAAGCTTTCTAGTTAAAAACTAAAATAAATGTATTCTTTAAATGCCTTGGTCTGAGTCTTCCAGAAAAAAATAAAAATTGACTTTTTGATTTTTCTATTGCCCCTTCCCTGGAAGTGTTTAAGGCCAGGCTGGATGAGTCTTTGAGCAACCTGGTCTAGTGGAAGGTGTCCCTGCTGATGGCAGGGGGGGTTGGAACTGAATGGTCTTTAAGATCCCTTGAACCTTTACCATTTTATGATTTATTCTTCAAAATAATCAGCATGTAGAGAATATTTCCCATGTTTCAGATAAGTAGAAAGCTACCTCCAGAGTAGTTTTTCTGCTCCTATATCCCCATTTTTTATAAATTGGGAAAAGAATCAAAAGAGCCAACTAAATTATTCAGGACAGTAGTAAAGCTAGTGGCTGAGCTGGAAGTAGAAGTCATTGTTTTTAACCCCAGCTGTACACGTTACACAAATATGTCTGTTTCTCCAGTGAGCATCCCACTTTATCTGTCTCAAAGAACCTTGTATGTTAATAAAGTTACTACTTTTTCCTGAAAGCAAAGATAGAAAGTACTTGGGCACTGATCCAGCAAAACCCCAATGCACAAAAGTCACCTCGGTGAAACCAGTGAGGTTGGTGGGACTTGTGTAATTTAGAGTGGTGCTTACGTGTTTTTCTAGACTGCAGTCACAAAGATTATGATCACAATTTAAATGGAGGAAAAATTAAGTTTGTGGGGAAAAAAGCAAGAGAAAGTAGGAAAATTATTTCATTTCAACCAATTTCAGGCTTATAATAAACTAATTCTGCAAGTGTAAAATGAAGATTTATTTCTCATTTGAAGAAATTAAGTGTCTGGATTTACGATAGATGAAGTAGTAATTCATGTGGACAACAATCTAGTTCTAACTTCAGAAACCATATTTCCCAGAAACATCTGGTTAGTGTCCTGGGCTCAGTGGGCTGAATAAATAAATAAATCTTTAATGCAATATTTAAGTACATAAATAAGAATCTATCCATTTCAGATAAGTTTGAAGTCTGATCTGATGCCTTCATTTAGAAAAGCAGATCTGATATACTTTGCATTAAGGGAAATCCTTATTTTTCATTTAATCCTGTCCAAGTTGACAGTACTTGAGGAGTAATGTTTCACTGAACTTGGGGCACAATGGATAAATCTAGTGCTCTGTAAAACCAATTAAAGACCCCTTTTCTAAGGGGCTATTGTTTTGAAAATGCTGTCTCTCCACATTCTTTTTCTTGAATTGCAAAACAGATTTTATTCAGTCATCCCGTGTCTAGTATGAGTTTTTTAAACAGCAACCTGCTGATTACTTTTATTAATAAAATGTTACTACATTTAAGACTGTGAAGAGGAAAAAAAAGGTTTTATCCTTAACCAAATTGTAATGTACTAGTCACAAAGTGTAATTTGTACTTTCGGAAGAAATCTTAAAATGGATAAAAGATTAGTTCCAATAACGTGATAGCATTTCCATCCTTGTGCATATTCAACTCACCTGCAAAAATATAGGGAAAATTTCTCGCCTCTTGTTCTGCTAGCTCAAATTTGAATCTGAAAAATCTCATTTATCCCTGTTCATTGCACTTATAAAAGTTCTTATCCTACTGACTGTGCAGCATTTGCCTCTTAAATGCTGCTTACTACCAGGTATTCCTGCAGTATCACAACCAGCCTGTACTTACAGGATACTGAATGGAAAAATGTGTGTATACATATAGGATCCTATTGCTCACATGTCAGCAATTCAAATAAGACTGTCTTAGGCTGATTTACTGTGGGGTTAATCCAAAAAGTGTCATTTCAAGTAGTGTTTGCTGTTCAGTACACAGACTGTTGCCAGTCTGATATATCCTGACTGTTTTGTCTCCTTATCTGAAAACAAAAGATCAGCAAAACCCTGATATCAGGCATTTTCCTATATTCATTTGCAAAATATCTCTGAAACTCTTCCTTTTGATGCTAATGTTGGTTATGAGATCTTCAAAACTTTGATCTGTAACACCAGGAGAAGAATTGGTCTGGCAGGCCTCCAGAGGTCTCATCCAGTGTTGATTATTGAATCTTGATTTCAGAAAGGAACAAAATAATTGTTATTTACCGCCAGGTTTTCAGTCAGTTTATGGACATGTTTATATATGAGAAAAGGTTTTAATCATCTTTTCCTGCAGAGTCAGCTTGAAGAGTTATGGTGTTAAGTAACTTAGAAAGTAGACATTTAAGCCTGCAAAATAGAAATATTATTCTAATTCTGTTTATGTTTGTCTGTAAAAATAGATTTAAAATAGAGCAAGCATGAGCACACAGAACGTAACTCTGAATCTTCAGCTGTCACTGGCCTTAAGAACTAGGTGAGGACATACATCAGCCCTGTAGGCTTTTGGGGAAAGGTTCATTTGTAATCTTCCCATTAAACAATGCACAGCTCCCAGTTTCCCAGTTGGAAGAAAGGCATACGAGTCCTTGACCAGGCCTGTACCTAATGTAGAAGCTTAATTTTAAAACACTTCAGCTGCTTTCAGCTCATTAAGAACTGGTATGAGTGACATCTCCTGAGCGCCACATGTTACTGTGGGGATACACTATGTTGTAAAAACACCATTTTTCAAGTAAGTCGTGGTGTTTTGAATGCTAGTGAAGCTTGAACACCTAAAGCTTATTTTCAGGAGAAAAATGCTTGCAGCTTCTCTGCGCTGTGTGTAACTTATGGAAAGGGTGTTTGAAAAACACACCAAAATCAGAGAAGATGAAAGATGCTGCCTGAGCTGAGAGGCTCCTTTGGGCTGTCTCAGTGCTTCTCATTTTTCAAAATACAGAGGATAAGCAGTCAGATGGTAAAATCTGTTTCTGAGTTTGAATACATGTGTTCTGTTTAACTCAGTCTTAAGCCCTCGATATAACTGATTGTGAAGTTAGGACGTAAAATCTTTGGTTTTCTTTCCTTTGTAGTCTGAGTTCAAAACCGTAGCCAGTCTGTGCTCTGCAAGAGCCATAAAAAGTCCTTTATTTGGCTTTCCAGGTTGCTTGCATAAGCCAAGTGTGTGTTTTTAGGCTACTTGTTTCCTCTGCTTTTGCTAAATATTGTCAAGAGTTTACCAATCCTCAATAGCACAAAACATTTACAGTACTATTCAGTTAAACTTAGAATCTTCTGTCATAATTTTTGTACAATTTAACATAGTTTAAAACAGATGAAGTATTTCCTAGGCACATGAGGTGTAAATGTTGTATATTAGGATGGAAATGTTCTATACCAGGTGTCTTGATTGTAATAATATTTTAGCATTGAAGTTTTCAGAATGTAATTTCTTAACTAAAGATATTTTAGTTAATAGTTATTTTCTCTCAAGCAGTTTTGCTAGAATTTTAAAGGACTTCACTTCTGGTGGGCTGCATTGCAGTTATTTCTCCATAATGTCTTTCAGGAAAATCCAGCTATGGCTGTTGCAATCAAAACATGTAAAAACTGCACCTCAGACAGCGTTAGAGAAAAGTTCTTACAAGAAGCCTGTGAGTATTAAAATACTTATTTAGGGGTAGTTTCTGTAACTGATCCTTGCAAAGACTGCAGCTATCTGTGCCAGAAACTTCTGATACTGATGTAAATCTTACATTAATGTATAGCATGACCTTTTCCTCTCCAGCAGTATGTGCCAGGAAGACTGCTTTACATCCTTGCATTGACCACGTGTGTGACTATGTTCTTTGATTTTCTAAATTGAACAGTGATGTCTGACTCATGTAAAGCTCCAGAACCAGTTTTGGAACATTAGAAATCTGATCCTCTATTTCCTTCTTTCTCCTTAATTAATTAAAAAAACCCATAGCACTTGTTTTAGTGTATTACCTTTGAAGGTCAGGTGGTTGTCTTTGTTAACAAAGTTGCTAAAAATATTATGTCTAATGTTTTGAAAATTCAGAATTAAAAATTATGATAGAATAAACCAATTTTCTGAATAATTGCCCACAAATATTGCATTCTCGAGGTGATACATTTCATACAGGGAGGAAGGCTTTTTGTTGAGACGAATACTAGCAGAAAACTTCTATAAGAATGTTGTAGTTACTGATTATACTGTAGTTACTGATTATAGCGGCCTTCCAATACCTGAAGGGGGCCTATAAGAAAGCTGGGGAGGGACTTTTTGTTAGGGCAGTTAATGACAGAACTAGGGGGAATGGCTTTAAACTGAAAGAGGGTAGGTTTAGATTAGATATTAGGAAGAAGTTCTTTAGTGTGAGGGTGGTGAGACACTGGAACAGGTTGCCCAAAGAGGTTGTAGATGCCTCCTCCCTGGAAGTGTTTAAGACCAGGGTGGATGAGGCTTTGAGTAACCTGGTCTAGTGTAAGGTGTCCCTGCTCATGGCAGGGGGGTTGGAACTGGATGATCTTTAAGGTCCCTTCCAACCCAGACCATTCTATGATTCTATGATTAGTGTTTGATTTTGTAAGCAAATTAAGATATGAGATTTAGGCCTTAATTTTTGCCTATTATCCTCTGCTATTGTATATCTGTAAATCTCATAAAGGTATTGTATTATATCAATGAATTATTTGGTTATGGCCAGATGTTACAGAATACTTTTATTCACTGTTCCTTTGTTCAGTGATTTTTTTTTTAATTGTTCAGAAAATCTGTGTTCATAGCTAATGGCTTCTTATATTTGGATGCCAGATTTTTCTTAAATTACTATAATTTTTTCCATTATATTTCTAGCTGTTGGAAAAGTAAATACCATTGCTTATAGTAATAACTTAGCAGTCACAGGTAGGCTGCTGTCTTTTAACAATGTAAAAAATAATTGCTCATTGAATGCTCCTTATTATGCTTTGAGCTTGACAGATTAGGAAATGCCAACGTAGTAGACAGATAAATAGTGCTTTTCAATTTTGATTTAATAGTTTTGCCATTTCTTCTTTCTTTTTTTTAATTCTAATTCCCATCTGTTACCTTTCTCTTGTTTGCATTCCTTTTGCAAACTCTCGGAAGATACTGCCTCCTAGTTGTTAAGAGCACTCTTCAAAAGGCTCAAATCCAACATCTGGAGAGGCTGAGTTGTTTATTTCAATGAATTAAGACATTTATTTCCTAATCTATTACTTAATATTAGGAATATTAAAATATTTCTGGGTTTTCATTGTTTGCTTATGGTAGAGTTTTCAATGCTGAAAAGATTTAGTTGATTTTTGCAAGGAGGAACACCTCAGTATGAAAAGTAGGTGCAAGCAAATGTTTTTACAAGCAGCACCTGTCTCTTCATTCCTGTCTGCATTTGTGTAGCAGTGTATTACTATTCATGCATTTGTGTATGCTAAAACACAAGCCACCTGCTTTGGGGAAATTTTTATTGATCTTTCAGTGGTTTTGGTAAATTGCTCCTTTCTACCAGTAGTTCATTCCTCTTCTCTCTAGAAGCTGGGTGGCAAAATAATACAATAATTTTTTGAATTTGTGAATTTGTCAGTGAACACTGATGGAATTAATTTCTGGGAAATACTTTCCAACAATGGAGCATTTTATGTTTAAAACTGGTAAGACCATATGATATAAAATTATTTGTGTTAATTGCCTTTCCATTGCTTTGATAATTCATTTTTACATCAATGAAGCAATGTTTCCATGTTGTAAAACATTGTAAATTGCATTGAGTTCGATTAGCACAAGAGAACCCTAAAGCTACATAATTGGGGTTTGTGTGGAATACACACTTCATTTACTAAGATTTTAATACTAACATTGGGTTCAGATAAAATAGTTTAGCAATACATACTTTCTTGAGGTGTCAGAAATAGCTTCCTGCTCTGAAATTCTGTTTACTTCAAAAGGGAAGAGGGGAATTGAATGATTTAGGAATCTAGCTTCAAATCTGTGTAGCGTATTAGCAGTTGCTATTGCCCATTTGGTATTTCACCACATTATTTATTCCTTTTTATGAGTTCGTTAGGCTATGTCATTGATAGGGATGTTTGTTTTACTGATTTTTCCCTGTATTATTCATAACTCATTAATATTTTAAAGAATATGTTAAGTTTGCCCTTTTAAGTGTCTTTGCAGGAAAATATGTTAGTGAACTATTATAACAATAGGTCTTATAAACAGCATTGTCCAAGGATTTTTCTTGGGGTTTGTGGTGTTGCAAGGTGTGTTGGTTATAAAGCTGCTGTGTACCAGTGTGCAGAGGTAGAGTTCAGAGCTCCTCAGAATAGGAATCCAAAAACACCTGCTGATTTTAGCTTGTGAGTAAAAGCCAAAAGATAACGGGTTTTGTCATTGCCTAATTTCAGGAGAACTGAAGGAGACTTTCCAGTTTGGTAATTACCGTGTATTTCTGTTGACACTACAAACTGTAAATGTACAAGAGATGCTACGTTAAGATTAAATTAAGGATATTTGTCAAGATTAAATGAAGGATGTTTGTTATGCATGTGTTGGAAGAGGAAAACTTAATCAGAGGTCTGATGTTTCATTTAACCTACCAAATACACCTCCCCAAAACATCAATAAGCATTGAGTCGGTCACCAAGGCGCGAGCAGTTCTGGTGCCGACATGGTCCTCAACGGAGTGCTCCAGCATGGTGTCCAGGAGAGTTTCCTGAACTGGGGCAATGCCAGTGTTGCAGTGACAACTCTTGTGAGTGCAGATGATGAGGCCTGGGCAGGGCCAGGAGCAACCTTGGCCAACCTTCACATCAGTAAAAGGCAGCCCCTGGGGAGCACAATCAACCGACCAGGGCGGGCAAACAGGACATGGCAGTTCATGCGGAAGGGCACACAGGGAGGGCAGCCTCTGGAAGATGGTCTGTTTTCTTCTGAGAGCCAGACAGAAGACAGCCTCCTGTTGAAACAAAATGGTTTCCACAGACTGTAACTGCCATGTTGTGACTGAAACCCAGGTGGAAGTGATAAAACCCCCTCCCTATGTGGACACCTACATCCAGACTGACCCCACCAAGAACTGAAAGAGCTGCCCAGACCCAAAGTTGCACGGAACTCCAGAACCTGGAAGTCCTCCTAGAGTCTGAAGGCAGAGATGGATGTCATGGCTGCAAGCGTGCTCAGCTGGAGGAACTCTTCAAGCGGGTGGAGCTTAACAGGCAGCGCAGCATCCTGGCATCTGAGCGAGAGATGGACACACGGTGTTGTGTGCTGTCACAAGCTGAGCCACAGCCCTGCATTCAGACTCTGCAAAGGGAAGGTAGGCTTGCTTCCAACCCTGAGGTGATGGACTCAATAAATTCACAAGACAAAGGAGACTGCACTCTCATCTCTGCTTGGGGTAGAAGGAGCAATCTTCCTGTTCCCCCTGAAATGCTCCTGTGTAACAGGTATGATGCCCTAGGGCAGGAGAAGGAAGAGAGAGTGAGTAATGGGCAAGGCCCAGGAAAGGCCAGCCATGCAAAGTTGGTCCAGCCACCCACTCACTTTAGAACTGGTACCACCAGAAAAGCGTGGAGGGACGTGAAAAATAGCAAGAGGGATTTCTTCAGGTACATAGGACAAAAAAGGAGCATGAAAGAAACCGTAATGCCTGGATGAGCAAAACAGGAGATCTGGCTACAACCAACACTGAGAAGGCTGAGGAACTCGGTAACATTTTTGCCTTGGTCCTCGCTGGCAAGTGCTCGGGTCACACTGCCCAATTGACAGAATCCAGAGGCAGAGACTGGGAGAATGAAGAATTGTCCACTGTAGGAGAAGATCAAGTTCAAGACCATCTAAGGAACCTGAATGTGCACAGGTCCATGGCACCTGATAAGATACATCTGAGGGTCCTGAGGGAACTGGTAGATGAAGTTGCTAAGCCACTATCCGTCATATTTGAAACATCATGGCAGACTGGTGAAGTTCCCAGTGACTGGAAAAGGGGAAGCATAACCCCCATTTTTAAAAAGGGAATAAAAGAAGACCTGGGGAACTACAGGCTGGTCAGTCTCACCTCTGTGCCTGGCAAGATCATGGAGCAGATCTTCCTGGAAACTATGCTAAGGCACATGGAAAACAGCTGATCGGTGATAGCCAACATGGCTTCGCTGAGGGCAAATTGTGCTTGACAAGTTTGGTGTCCTTCTATGACAGGGTTACAGCACTGGTGCGTAAGGGAAGAGTGACTGACATCATCTGCCTGGACTTGGGCAAAGCATTTGATACTGTCCTGCACATCTTTGTCTCCAAAACAGAGAGACATGGATTTTATGGGTGGATCACTTGGTGGATAAGGAATTGGCTGGATGGTTGTGCTCAAAGAGTTGCAGTCAGTGGCTCAATGTCCAGGTGGAGACCAGTGATGGAGTGGTGTCCCTCAGGGGTCTGTATTGGGACTATAGAATCATAGAATAATTCAGGTTGGAAAAGACTGTTAAGATCATTGAGTCCAACCATAAACCCAACACTGCCAAGTCCACCACTAAACCATGTCCCTAAGCACCATGTCTTTTAAATACCTCCAGGGATGGTGACTCAACCATTTCCCTGAGCAGCCTGTTCCAATGCTTGACATCCCTTTTGGTGAAGAAACTTTTCCTCATATCCAATCTAAACCTCCCCTGATGCAACTTGAGGCCATTTCCTTTCATCCTATCACTTGTTACCTGGGAAAAGAGACCGTCAGTCACCTGAGGTGATTCTTCCTCTCTATTTGGTCTTGTGAGACCCCACCTGGAGTACTGTGTTCGGCTCTGGGGCCCCCAGCATAATAAAGACAAGGACCTGCTCAAACAGGTTGAGGGGAGAGCAATGAAGATGAACAGGGGGCTGGAGCATCTCCCCTATCTATGAGGACAGGCTGAGAGAGTTGAGGTTGTTCAGCCTGGAGAAGGCTGCAGAGACCTTATTGCAGCCTTTCAGTACTTAAAGAGGGCCTACAGAAGAGATGGGAAGGGACTCTTTATCAGGGAGTGTGGTGATAGAACAAGGGGTGATGGCTTTAAACTGGAAGAGGGGAGATTGAGATGAGATGTGAGGAAGAAATTCTTTCCTGTGAGGGTGGTGAGACAGTGTCCCAGGTTGGCCAGAGAAGCTGTGGCTGCTCCTCCCTGGAAGTGTTGAAGGCCAGGCTGGATGAGGCTTTGAGCAACCTGGTCTAGTGGAAGGGAGCTTGGAATGAGATGATCTTTGGATCCCTTCCAACCCAAACCATTCTGTCATTCTATGATTTGTATGTCTTATTGCATAAAATATATTGTGAATGCCCTGCTGAGACTGAAAAATTAACCAAGTCCTGTGATGTGAACGTAGCCATTAAGTGAGATTTTTGTCTTATGTCATAAACTGACACATTTTTCCCAGACATTGAATCCTGTCCTTTCCTTCCTCTTCTTCCATTAGAAAGGCACAGGTTAATTGGTCATGCACAGGACAGGTAGGTCATTATGTTAACTTATGTTATGTTCAACCAGGGCAGAAGAGCCAGAGATCCTGACTTGACCTGCACCTTCCACAGCAGTTTACTTTTATGAGTGGAGAGTAGCACCACTGAAGCAAGCAGTGTTGCATACAGCTCACAGAACATTAAATGACCAGACATTATTATTATTTGCAAGCAGTAGATGAACGTCCTGCAGAATCCTGTGATTATATTTTCTAGTCATAGACTAAATGCTTATTAATTGACTGTTTTATTTTTATTTTTAAAAAACTAGTCATAGACTAAATGCTTATTAATTGACTTTATTTTTATTTTTAAAAAGCAGGTTTTATGTAAACTTTATGTAACTTGTTTCTTTTCCTTTTAGTAACAATGCGTCAGTTTGATCATCCTCACATTGTGAAGCTCATTGGAGTTATCACAGAAAACCCGGTTTGGATAATCATGGAGCTCTGTACGCTTGGAGAGGTATGAAAGATCCTCATGCACCTTTGGTCTTCTCTCTTTTAGCTCACAAATACCTTTACAGAAGGTTGAAAAAAATGACTTCTCAGTACCAATGCCAAGGCAGTCTCCTCAAATGTGATACCATACTTGTTTGTAGCATCATGGACTCAGGAGTGGCAGAATTTGACATAACTCCTCCGCTGAGGGAACTGCATCAGCTCATACCAAAGTGATTTAGTCAGAGTTTTCAGAGAACTTCAATTGCTGTTCCAGAGTGAGAGCATGACCTGTGTCAAGATGATGATAATGCGGTATCATTTAAACTGCATTTGCAAACGTACCTTTTAGAAGTGAAATCACGTGGTACATCCTTTCTTCTTCCTGAGTAATGCTGCGGTTTCCCTTGGAACACTGAATTTCTTAGGGATTTTTTTCTGTACAGTCTCTGCAACAAACACTCTAGATGATTTTCCTCATTATTACATCTTTTGGATGAATGCTTTAAACAAAACTAGATCTCAGTTTTTATAATCAATTTGTTTTCCTTGAGCTACGTGTTCTGCGAGTGTGAGCTGAAGTGATGTTTCATACTGCATTGTAAGATAGTAACTGTAATCATCAAATTGCAATATCTTGTCCAAGAAAAAAAAAAGGCAGAAAAACCTGTAGTGGAGAAGTCATTTTCTGTCAAAAAATTACAGATTTCTTTTCCAGTGCCCAAATCTTCCTTTTCAAAGCCTTGTTTTAATTTATAAGGAGATTCTAGTGCCATCTTCCTTAGGTCCTAACTGCCTTATACTGGGAATATAGTTTATAAAAATTCTGCATTGATACTGGCTACTCTGAGCTAAATCCAATTGTTTTAGCAAATTAATGCTTCCAAAACAATACTTATCTGATCAGTGTTTGGATTGGCCATGTACTGTTTTACTCTGAAATTATTTACACCAAAAACCTGCACAGTTCTCAGGGGAAGAATGAATGAAAAGTCTGAAAACAGTGCACAAAATATTTTTTTTGTTGTTTGGCTAAGAGTTTTCATGTGGAAAAAAACTGCTTTAATTGAACCCAGAGCCAAACATTTCTTCATGGCAAGTGATTTTCTTTCCTCATCCAGTCTTAAGGGAAAGTGTCCCCAATCAATTCTCATGTAAACTTCACAGTTTGAGATATGCCTTATTCAAATTTGTTTATTTTTTTATCCTGACTTCTTTCCTTTTTTTTCTTTTTTGTGCAAAAAGTTGAGATCATTTTTGCAAGTAAGAAAATACAGCTTGGATCTGGCTTCTCTGATACTCTACGCTTACCAGCTTAGCACAGCACTTGCCTACTTAGAGAGCAAAAGATTTGTACATAGGTAAGATTTTATACATATATGTGGGTATGTGGGTATTTTTATATGTAAATACTTGAAATTTTAGGGAATGCAAGATGTCCTAAATTGCCTGATTTTTTTCTGAATTTTCTCCATATTAGTAGTATCATTTTTTCAGACACCGAAGTGACGCCCTTTTCAAGAGTGACACCTGCTGGCTCCCTCCTAGATTGACTCAGAGATGGTGCTGGATTTTAATTACAATAGATTTTAACTGAATTGTTGCTTTGTGGTTGTAATATTTTTAAAGCTGTAATCTTCCAAATACAGAATAGCAAAACAAGGAGCAGCTTGTTCTTCTTAAATATTAAAAACAGGGAAAACAAAATACTTATAAAATACAAGTATTTGCTTAACCAGAAAGTGACCTTAAATTTCCTTCTAGGTGTGTATTCACTCAAATTTCAACATGAGCTTTCTAGGGAGAAGAGACGAGCTTTAGCCTCTTATACACAGAATCGCCTCGATTGGAAAAGACCTTTAAGATCATCCAGTCCAATCATTAACCCAACACTGACAAGACCCCGACTAACCCATGTCCCTCAGCACTGTGTCTACACGACTCTTCAATCCCTCCAGGGATGGGGACTCCACCACTGCCCTGGGCAACCCCTTCCAATGCCTCAGAACCCCTTCAGCAAAGAAATTCTTCCTCACATCTAATTTCAAATGCCCTTGGTGCAACTTGAGGCCATTTCCTCTTGTCCTGTCGCTTGTTCCTTGGTTGAACAGACCCACCCCCACCTCTCTCCACCCTCCTTTCAGGGAGCTGGAGAGAGCAAGAAGGTCTCCCCTCAGCCTCCTTTTCTCCAGGCTCAACAACCCCAGTTCCCTCAGCCATGAACTCATCACACTTGTGCTCCAGACCCTTCCCCAGCTCCGTTGCCCTTCTCTGGACACACTCCAGCACCTCCATGTCCTTCTTGGAGTGAGGGGCCCAACACTGAACCCAGCACTCGAGGTGCAGCCTCACCAGTGCCCAGTACAGGGGGATGATCGCTGCCCTGGTCCTACTGTCCACACTATGGCTGGTCCCGGCCAGGATGCCATTGGCCTCCTTGGCCACCTGTACGTATTGCTGACTCATGTTCAGCTGGCTCTCAGTTGTATGCAGTTAAAAGTTCACAGCACTCCACTTATCATGTACCATTTCCTTTTGAACTTGAGTGTTTTATTTATGTTTAAATACTTGTGTTCAAATTCTATATGTGTATTATATATATTGTACATACAAACACATGTACATGTAAGTATTAGGTATGTACATATACCTAGATATGTATATAAAAATGTTGTAAATAACAGACCCTTAGGATTGTTACAGATACTTGCATTTTGACCAAGTAGCTGTTTATTTTAACTCTGGCAGTAAAATTTAAAAATACAACTTATTAATGCTGGACTGAAATGGGAGACAGTAGCACCGCTCATCTTGCTGTGCTTAACTTCACTGCTGAAAGCTAAATCTCTGAATAATTAGTCAAGCCTGCTGAAATCCAGAACCAACAGGCACATAAGGCGAGTTGTCTCACCTGGGAAACTGCACGAGAAAACTGCGCAAGTCTTTGCATAATCCCTGTGGCATCACTAAAAACTCCTTACTAGGAAGCCTCTTACAGGACTGAGATCTTAAACCAATTCCTTATCTTTGCAAGTTCAGGAGGCAGATTTTCTTCTTTTCATCAATTCTAATTGCCAAAAATTGTTAGCCTGTGATGTTTAAATAGATGAAGAATAAAACTTTTTCCTCTGATACTGACATTGACGGTTATACTTTTGGATGACAGCTGTTACTCATAAGGATCAAACATACTGCAGCATTTCTGCAAGCTTCTCAGGATCAGTAGACAAATACCTAGTCATCTTTTTCTGTCCATGCACACCCAAACCATGATGAGAAATACGCTTCAGTCCTCTCAAAGGCATTTGATACTTCTGCGTTTGGATAACTTTTAAGTTTTTAAATGACTGGAAATAATGTCTCCTCTGTTTGGCAGGGATATTGCTGCTAGAAACGTGCTGGTATCTGCCACTGACTGTGTAAAATTAGGTGACTTTGGTTTATCCCGATACATGGAAGACAGTACTTACTATAAAGGTAAGTTGACACTCTGGATCCTTCTCGCCGGGCCAGTTAGAACACAATTGCTTCTCACAATACTGTGTTTGCTGTCAAAAGGAATTAACCAGATTTTCTTGGTCTAGCCGTTGTATTGTTCAAAAAGGCAAACTATTTAACAGTTTAATAGATGGCAGATAAATTCCTACATGTGTGCTTAAGAAGAAGAATCACAAGGTCTGATTTAAGTTGCAAAAAGTAGCAAATTCACATGTAGGTAAAATTCCGCTTTTTTGGACAAGCTTATGGTGCTTTCTTCATGATTTTTAGAAGATTATCCACATTTGAGGCTTGTTTGAGATAATATTCATATTCATGGCATGAGATGTGTAGCCTACAATGAGTTCAAGGTTACCTACAGATAAATTTTGAGTTTGTGCTGTTGTTGTATGCTGCATACTTCAGATGCCACTGGACTAGGGAGGTTCAGTACAAAAAAGTCTTTGAAGCCTCCTTTTCCCCGCATTTTGGATGAAATACTGATCTTAAGTGGCTCCAGCAGCTGTGAGATGTCCTGCAGTGCCTGATGGATGGGAAATACAGCAGGAGAATAGAGATTGCATGTAGGGTACCAAACCAGTAGTATTTTAAATCTGGTATATATTATAAAACCATGTATTTAAAACCTTTTCATAAGGGCACTTACTGACAAAACAAGGGGAAATGGGTTTAAGCTGAAAGAGGGCAGGTTTAGATTAGATATTAGAAAGAAGTTCTTCACTGTGAGGGTGGTCAGACACTGGAACAGGTTGCCCAGAGAAGCTGTGGCTGCTCCTCCCTGGAAGTGTTGAAGGCCAGGCTGGATGAGGCTTTGAGCAACCTGGTCTAGTGGAAGGTGTCCCTGCTGCTGGCAGGGGGGTTGGAACTGGATGATCTTTAAGGTCCCTTCCAACCCAAACCATTCTATGATTCTGTGTATTCGTACATCTGATCTTCAATGTATTTCTAGTTTCAATCGTATATTTTAAAAAATCCTTCATCTGTCCCCTTTCACTCTGTTATGTTTCCAGTCACTGTGAGCTGCATATCGTCATTTTAATTGCTGAGAGGAGAGGGGGAATACTTTTAACGTGATCATTTCTTATTGTGCTTTTGGGGATTGTTGTTGAGGGCTTTATTGAGATGTTTGGGAGATTATTTTGTTCCTTGTTGGTTCTTTTTTCTGTTTTATGTAAGACCAAACAACTTACCCCTTTTTTATGAATCATTTAAAAACACCAACTCCCTTGCTGAGATTTTGTGACAGTTTCAGATTTGGTGCCAGTACCTTTTTAACTGCAATAGTTACATCTTGACATTAGAATTAACTTAAAACTCAGAGGAACTCAGATCAGTCTGAATATTTGGGCAAAGTGCTGCTCTTCTCTGTAGACAGAGGACTACCAGCAGAACTGCTCAGACAGTGCAGAAATCTCTTGTTAAAATCTGATAGTTGAAGAGCTTCACTGGAGATGGGTTTTCCCTATGAATTATTTCATAGATTCTGAGAACAGAATTGATGTTTGAGCTCAGCAGTAGGAATAAAAGCCTGCCTTGTCTTGCCTTCCCTGTAGCTTCCAAAGGAAAATTACCTATCAAATGGATGGCTCCAGAGTCAATCAACTTCCGACGGTTTACCTCAGCTAGCGATGTGTGGATGTTTGGTAAGTGAATACCAAATGATGGGGTTTCTTAACTATCCTGTAAATTAAAAATTTCCAGCTATTTGGCACTGGTTTTGCTGTAGTTTCTGAAAATACAGTTTCTTCCAGCACATTTTCCATCTCCGAATTTTTCTTTCCTTTTTCTACTCAGTAAGCCTAAAATTCCATGTTCCTTATCATCTTTAGTAGGAAGCTGACAGAAATGAAGGTACAAGGAAATTAGGTCATAGTCATAACAGAGACTGGTTTTTTACTGTTGTTTTTCCCTCATTTCTTTCTGTTATACCATTGTTATTTGCTCTATTTTGTATTTTCATTCACCTTTATGGTGATATGCTTGCTTCCTTGCTTAATGCATAGATCACCCTATATGATGTCCTGTTTCCAGATCTTTAATGCTGAATTCCCACTTAATTTGTCTCCCAGAAGCTGAGTTAAAATAAGGGTAAATGGGAATATCCTGACGCCTTTATCTTTTTTACTAAATATGCAAGTTTTTATAGGAATCTGATCACCTGTGCTCAAACTGGTCCAAACTGCTAGTCTGGACAGACAGAACAAAGATAGGCTGTGTAAACAAACCAAGGTGATGAGACTTGAAATAAGAGCAGGACAGACCAGTAAGGGTTCAGCCTCCTTACAAAATAAAATTTCAATGTTCTTAAGTGAAGGGTATGTGAATTTTAACAGGTTTATAATAGCTTGAAGGAAACTCTAGTGCAGTCAGAGTTAGAAAAATTGAAGTCTATGGAACATTCTGGCCAATCCTAAACTGACAGACTGTTTTTCCCTTTGTGCTTTTAACATAGTTTCAACAGAAACTGTTTTATTGCATAGTTTCAGCACAAAAAAATTGGATCAGTGCCAGTGTTAAAACCCTCAAAGTGAAAATACGCTCGATGTGTTGAAACAAGCCAGTTGGAACTAGTCAAAGGGAAAAGCAAACACACCTCATTCTACCTCATGAAAAAAGTAGATTTGAATATGAGCAACCATTCTGATTTGCAATAGGTAAAAGGTAGCTAAATGTGAAGCCAGGCTGCTGTGAGCCAGCTGTGGGTCACGCTTCCTCATAAATAGTGCAGGTTGATACGGCGTGTGTAATCCTACTGCACATCATTCCTCTCTGCTGCCAGCTGGTAAGTCAAAACCAAGTCCCTAGCTATACATTTCAGATGGAATTGCATTGTTTGGCTGTGCAAAATTGAGGTTTGTTTCTTTTTTTTTTTTTTTAACATGTTTTATTTGTTTGCTGACACTGGGGAAAATTTTTTTATGTGTGTGTTTCTCAGGTGTGTGTATGTGGGAGATCCTAATGCATGGGGTAAAACCCTTCCAGGGAGTGAAGAACAATGATGTGATTGGGCGAATTGAGAACGGTGAGCGGCTCCCAATGCCTCCAAACTGCCCTCCTACCCTCTACAGCCTTATGACCAAGTGCTGGGCATACGACCCTAGTAGACGACCCAGGTTTACTGAACTTAAAGCACAACTCAGGTAGGGTTATACTTCTGAAAGGTCGTTTCCTTGTTCAGCAATATTTATTTTCACTGTGTCTTCTGTTACAGTTTTTATTTCCATGGAAAATGCAAGACGTAGGGTATTAAGTTTTATCTTCAGAAGGCCAGGTTGTTGGTGCTTTTTTGGAAATCTAGGCCTTATCTGTTGGAGAAAGACTAGGTAATGAATTAAAATAACTGGAAATATTAATCACCTTTCACTCCCAAGAAAAACTTCAGATTTTACTATCAATTTGTTTCTGATTTTAGCTATGTATGTTACAGTCTTTGGGGATGGAGGTAGGAATTTAGAGTGATTACTTAGTCAAACATCAGTGTATAGTTTTGGGGTAGAAATGTACCCTTTCTTAAGTAAATGAACCATGAGGTGAGTGCTGTTGAAAGTTATTTCCATAACGTCTGCAGCACACTAGTTGCCCTGTGGCAGCTGTGTCTGTACAATTACGGAGCCTGCGATAACTGCAGCGTCATTAACTAGAAATTCCTTTGCCCTTTGTAAACCAGGATGTAGGCTACCATATGTTTATCTTGGAATAAATGTGAGCACACATTTTTGAGAGCAGTCTAAATTCACACCCTAGTTTATTCTGCAATAATTTATTCCAGTGTCGGTGTCTCCATTTCACCAGTGACAAAATAGGAATGACATGTAAACTTTGAAACACCATTGAGATATTGTGTAGAGAAATGTGATATTTGTGTCTGCCTTTAGGATTTTATCAGTGCTCAGTATCTATTTTGCCTAAGTCAATTCAAGTTTCAAACAATATGTGGGTATTGTACACGGTAAATCCATTGTTGGATTTGTTGTAATTCATTGCCAAATTCTTCAGTTTTATCTTATATCTTGTTTCGAAGTTGTGCTTTGTGGTATGTTTTATTTTCATACCATTTTGTGCTGTCACTGGATGTTCCTGGTACAAGATAATTCATAGGTGGTTAAGAAAGGGACATTTTTAATATAATTATGCTGCTGTTTCAGTTGCTGTATGGATAACTTAGCTACCTTTAAGTTTTTTCCTATTTCTTAAAATGTCATACGGTTCTGCCATCTGTTGCTCTGGGAGCTCCTGTGTAGACTCATAATTTGCATAGCTAGAGGAAGATGTTGCCCTTCTCACAGAAAACTTAAAGCTATTGATCATGTGCAGTTAACTACAAAGGAAGGACAGGTAAAGCTTGGTAAGATTTGCAAGAAAAAGATAGGACACTGTTGTGTGATTTGGGTAGTAGGTGGAAACTGGCATTTCACTTGCTTTCTCTTTTTTTTTGGCTCTGGAAGAATAGGATTCTTTTTAATTTGCAGTCAGATTGCACTGGTAACTTACAACTGACTGGCATGGAAGAGAATGAAGTCCTAAAAAAAATGTGACTATGAAGCTGGCTGTGGTTTGTAAAGCCAGGCAGAGAGAATGTCTCACCAGCAAGGGAAGAGAATGAGTAAATCCGGAGTAAAAGTAATTGTGTTGGAGGGTGAAATAAATGTAGGCTGTACTCAGAGGGAGAGTGATGGCAGCAGCCCTTAGAACAGCGTGAGTCTGGAGGGGGAGAGGAGAAAAAAGTGAAAGACGTGGAACGATATTGCCAGATAAACAGGAGAGACCAGTGCCCAAGAGCCTGACTCTCCTCAGAAATGCACAGCCAAAGGGTGAGAACCAACACTAATAACGTGCAGCAAGGCAAATTCTCGTTAGATACAAATCAAAATGTTTCCCAGTGTGCATGGGTGAGCTCTGAAACAGGTCACCCAGAAAGGCTCTGAAATTACCGTGCTGGGAAACTCAGAAACCTTGACTGGAGGAGGCTCCAAGCAACCTGACCTTGCCATGCATAGAGCTCAGCTTTAGGAGGAAACTGGACTCAAGACCCTTCCAACCTAAACTATTCTCTGGTTCTGGATGAAAATTGCACCAAGGGTGGTTTTTTGCTCCTCTAGTCATGCTTGGAGATTTTAAGTATTGTTCAGAGGACAAGCTCTTTCCTAAAATCCAGTTTTTACTCTCTTTTCACCAAAGCAGACAGTTTTCTGCCACTCCAAACTGGTGACCTTTGTCTCCTGGAAGTTAGACACACCATCATCCTTAGGGTTTCTTTGTGCTGCTCACAGACAGAGTCAGCCTCTCGTTGGAGATGTTGCCAATTCCCTTATGATGAGGCAATCTCAGGCAGCTAGGAAAGATTGTGTTTCAAAACTCAAATTCCCATGAACTTGCAAAAACAAGCCATTTCCCTGGTGGCCTTTTCTGTGTGGTGCTGCTGCTGCTGCTCATTCTGGATCCCATCCAGGGTAGTCTTTTCAAGCTGAGAGCAGACCAGTTGTTTGCTTGAAGCCAATGATACAGCACTGCAATGTTCCTTTCTGTTTTAATGAGGAAAAAGTTCATGGCTTTGGGAAAAAACCTTATTTTCTGCATGTGAAATAGCACTGATGGGAGCATAAGCATCTCATGTCTTCTCTGCTTGTTAGGTGATGCTTTTCCCATTTCATAGTAACATTTGCTTTGCACAAGCTTTGCTTGCAGCTGATTGTGCAACACAAAGATGCTGATTTCTGTAGAATTTATATAGTGTTATTAGGATACTAATAAAGCCTGATATTTTATAGCATTTGATCTGTCCAAAGTGGATAGGGGTGAGTTAGTCTTCAGAGCAAACGCAGAAATAAATGAGCGAATTGTGGATTTCCAAATTTAATTCCCCCTCGCATCCTAGGTCCCTTTTTCTATTTTTGGAGGAGGCAGGTAGAAGTGAGATTAAGTCAGGAAAGTGAGGTGCTACCCTGCTACTCACTGGGATGTTTTAATCAGGAAGCATATGTTGCCTTCCTGCTTTCGTGTAGAAGAGATTTTGTCTTGCACTACATGGTAAATAACATAAAAAGCTCTTTGTGAAGTGTTCAGGGCACCCAAATCATGGTCACTTCATCATTTCTCCTCAGAATGACTCTTAGCCACTTTTGTAACCCTACTGACTGTACTAGAATCATACACTCAGTGTAACTATACACTCATACATGCGTGGATTATTAAATTTAATTTATTCTTTGTAATGTTCAGTGTGCTGCAAGCGTGTTTTGCTGAGGTAGCACCGTTATACTCACAAGCTTTCTTGTAAGTCAGCTCCCAGGCTTGTGCTTGCAAGTTGAGGTTCCCTGAATGTCCCTTTGGTTGGTAATTCTGTTAAAAATGGGGTTTTTTTGCATCGGAGTTTAAGTTGGATTTTATTTTTGAGCTTTCAAATTAATGTAATTGTATAACATTTTCACTGCATCATTGAATGAATTTTGTTTAAAGTAACTGTCACTAACCTTTACTTCCTAAAAATGGCAAAATAAGCAGCAGTTGTGTCATTGCTGTGAGAAGTGTCACTCTGGCCTTCTGTTGATCACTGATGAAGCAACACAGGTTCTAACAGGGTGGATGACCCCACCAGCATCCTAATGCCGCAGGTCACATTAAATACAGCTCTAAAAGGAATGGAAAAAAGAAAAAAAAGACTTCATTTTCTTCCTGAGGAGAGGGACTTGGGGTGCTGATGGACAAGAAGCTCAACATGAGCCGGCAATGTGCGCTCACAGCCCAGAGGCCAATAACCGTGTCCTGGGCTGCACCCAGAGCAGCGTGGGCAGCAGATTGAGGGAGGGGATTCTGCCCCTCTGCTCCGCTCTCCTGAGACCCCACCTGCAGTGCTGCCTCCAGTGCTGGGGCCACCAACACAAGAAG